GAGAGAGAGATTTCAGGGGTTTCGGGTCAGTTCGACACATTTCATTTTCTAAATAGCTCCAGTTCAGGCAATGTTTTTCAGAATCAAATCGCATTGTGACGCAGCAGGCTTTGCGGTGGGGCATTGTTATCCTTTTTGTCTCAACAAAATAAATGAGGTGATCCATATTTGTGGATACAAGTACAGACAGTGATGGAATTACAGCGTCTGCAGTCATAGCACGATCAGATTTTTTTTCTCCTTTCAGTTCATTTTATGTTAAATCTTTGGGGAATAATTTTGCTTTATTTTTGCCCCATTTAGCCGTCACTTGTGGTGTGTTTGGATCCTCTGATCAGGTTGTCAGCAGGTTTAAACATGAGATTGCTATCATGTTTTTATAGCTTCCTCTCATTTTTCAGGGAATTTTTCAGTTTTGCGCCCCCCCCCCCTCCATTTAATATAAAAACTGCAGACATGGCTTCATCTGATTAGACATGCAGCTTCAAACATATCTAATCTTCTCCTGTGTTTTGATTGAGCTAAATCAGCATGCATGAAGATATCTATGGCTGTTTTGATGGCTCTCATGCATACCTCCAGATTTAAATAAAGAATGTCATCTGATGCCCAGCTGTAAACACGTTACTTCAACACATTATTTTCATCTTGGATGCATATTTTGTTTATAAAGAGAGGACTACACAGCACCTCTCATCTTAGGTCTCTCTAAATGTCAGCCGGTGCACATTTATTTGTTCCAGCACATTTACAGAAATCCCAGGGGCACTGTCATCCTTCATGAGTTTTTATATATATATAACAGTGTAAAAGTGTCACAGCATGCAGCATCCCTTGATTTCAACCACAGTCACATTTTTTAAATATGCAGAAAATCCTTAGATTTAGTTTGACTCTTTATAAACAGTCAGATTTAGTTATGATCAGTGAGATGTTCACAGCATGTGGCTCTCACAGCATTTCTGTAGATAGAACATTTGTACCAGTTGGACTATTATTCATACACTATTTTTTTCTTCTTTTCCTGTGCTCTCATATAATTTTATGCAGGCCATTTTTAACGACTTGAGTTTTTCCCCAGTAGGCGTTGCCCATGTTTATTGAAATGTTTTGCTTGCCAGAGGCAGATTTTCATCCTGTGTAACTTGGCTGTAATTTACTGCAGGGTCACCTACATTAAAGCTGTGCTGTGCTGTGCACCACTGTGCTGCTCTCGGAGGATAGCTGATTCATGCTCTGGATAAGCGTGCTGCACATACTTTTATAAATACCTTCAATACAGCTGAGTGGTAATGGCATGTGTCATATTTCCCAGTTAATTAAGAGGCTTTTATGGTTGGACTGGTGCGAGCTCCCTGCAGCCTTCCCAAAAAAGTAGATTTTAAAAGCTACTTTCAGATGCTCGCTTACTCACAGGGGCAGATTTTTTTCCCCCCTTAAATATTTTTCAGTCTCTACAAAAGTAGGCATAGAAATAACTGCATTGTGGGGTTTTCCATCTGAGGATCACGGCCTTTGGTAGATCTGACATGGACTCCATAGCGTGTCTTTTTTCCTCTCCCCCTCTTACCCACAACCACAGAAGACTGTCCCTCCCTCAGCTTGGTTCTCCCAGAGGTTTCTTCCTCTTAAAAGGGAGTTTTTGCTTCCCACTGTCACCAAGGTCTTGTTCATAGGGGGTTGTCTGATTGTTGCGGTTTTTCTCTATTATTTTAGAGTCTTTACTTTACAATGTAAAGCACCTTGAAGCAACTGTGGCTGTGATTTGGAGCTATATAAATAAAACTGAATTGAATTCAAGTTAATTGGATGCTGCTGCAGGCTGCTTTGTGCTCGTCAAAATAAACTAGCCTTTTTTCCCTTTCAGCAGCATTAAAATGAAGTCCGGGTAAAGCAGGTGCACACACAGGTTTATATTATTATAATATTTCACCCTTTCACTCTAACAGGCGTTCAACTCTGAGACAGACAACTTCAAACTGATGTACGGGGGCCATCAGTACCACGCCAGCTGTGCCAACTTCTGGATTAACTGTGTGGAGCCCAAACCCCCGGGCCTCATCCTGCCTGACCTGCTCTGAGCTGCCATGGTAACACGGCAAGAGCTAATTACCACCAGATAGGTGGAGCGGCCACTCGCCTCACACCAAGAGCAAGAGGAGAACATCTACAGTCACTGGATTCCTCTAGCTTTTTTTTTATTATCCTGAAATCTCACCCAGACTGTGTTCATTTGCAGATCTTTTCCCTGAATAGTCATTGGTCGGTTCATATGGTTACTCTTTCGTTCAACCATACAGGTCAGCAGTTGAGGTCATATTTAAATCTGTTTTTAATGCTGCTTTTGACAAATTATTTCTGCTGACTATTCGTGCAGAAATGCAACAATATTAATAAATATAACTAATCAGTGAATCCTATTTAAATTATTAGGTGTGCAATATCCTTATAACACTGGCCGAGGAGGTTTTTGCTTCTGTTTGTGTATTTTTTGTTTGCAGTGAATCAGATTTAATGAATCATAAGTCTACCATTGAATTACTTGAATTGTATTTCTGTCTCGGGTCTGTTGGATGAAACTCTGTGGCTGTTATGGTTTTAATGTCTTTTTGAAAATCTTTAACATTCAAACCATCTCTGCTCTGCCGGAAGGTAGGCACCTCTCTTTCTCTGCATTATGTTTCGCTGCGTTGAATGTCTTTTGCACTGTTTGTGAGGAAACTTTAACACCTCTTTGGGTATTTAAATTGTATTTTGTAGGTGTTGGGGATTTGAAGGGAATCTGTTGTGACTTTCTGTGTTGTTGTTGTGTGCAGAGCTGAAATTCTGGAAGTATTTACTAATGCTGAATTTGAACAGCAGCAGCATTTTCTGTATATTACAGTGTCATGCTGCAGCTTTGTATTAATCACCCAGCTGTAATGTGAATGTTATGTAAATAAATGACGTGCAAACTGGTTAAAGTGTGGCAGAGTTAATGTAATTATCAGGTTTACAGGTCATGCAGACCAAGTTCACCTGAAGGACATGCTTGTGTGCACTGTGGCATTTCCATGCAGACACAAGAAGCTGGAGGGCATGTGTCCATCCACTCTGAGCCTTTATGTTCAGCCTTTAATGAAGCCACTTATTTAGCTTGGGAGCCGTACATAATCGTGAATGAAGAAAGTATAACTAACCTGGACTGAATACACATCAGTTCATCATAATTTTCCATAAAGTAACCAGCTTCTTCTGAGGAAAGCAAATACTTCTGAAAACTACATGTGTAGTTCTAAAGTAACTCATTACTTTGGTGAATATAATTAATGTTACTACTCCATTACATTTTTTTTAATCACCTTTGGTCTTTTGCCACATAATTGCCTGAAGCCAAAGTTCTGCATATAAAATCCCTTTTAGGATAAAAAGAAAATACAAGTATTTAATGCAAGCTCCTTGAAATTTGAAAAAGTCACGCACAAAAAAATTGACTCTGTATTTTAAGACCCTCCCACCAGACAGGCATAAAAAAATAAGCCTTGATTTATATATTCTCTTACTATAGCTACTGCATTTCTGTGCTGTGCACTGTTTAGCCTGTTTTTTAGCCAATTTCCAGGTGATTACTCGGCTTATAATTCAACGGATAGTGGATATAAACTTGATGGTACTATTGGAAAATGAAACTTCTATGATGCTTTTTAAGGCATCATGTCTGCATAAATGCGTAATTTTAGGCTGTTGCTACATGGATGGTAGGCAGCGCAATGATGTCATGATCACCGATATAGATAGGAACCCCCGGGGACCTGAGAACAACATACACAGAGATTATTTGATTATTATAGTAAAGATACACCAAATCAAAACCTTATGTTCTTATCACATCAATTATGAAGTCTTGGAGTTGCCTAGCAGCTAAAATGACCCATATTTAATGTTTATGACCTTTCAACACCTTATCAATACGTTGTAGGATTTTAATCTCACAAAAGAACTAATTTATATCCACAAAAACCTATAAAATAATTGCAATATTTATGAAATCATCACCATGCCTTGGACTACATGACCTTTATATGGTAGAGCAGATAATAAGTATATCAGTTGCCAACAGCACAAACAGGCCAAACAAGACTTCAACATGGGCATGTAAATAAAATTAAAATAGGAATAAATAAATAAAATAAGAATTTTTATTGTCTCATGAAGCCAAAAACATTGTGCCTACTCCAGATTTAATCATTTATCACCAAACGCTGATAGCAGTGTTGGTAAAAACCAAAATAAAGGACCCTAAACAGAAAAGAATGCCAGAGAAAGCAAGGCTCCAAAAATGATCCAGGTTGTCCTGGCAGTACGCTGAGCCTGTACACCCTCAAACTTATGCACTGCTGTACCCTCACCACCGCTAAACACACAGTCAACAATGTTTCATCACTTTTCTGGATTAATTCATCCAGTGTGTTCAAATCTGAACACAGCACGGCCTTAAAATGACTCATTTAATTCACGTGGCTTTCTGCTCTTATTCCACTGCTTTTCCTGTGATGCTTCCTCTTCCGAATGCATGAATGTTTCTGCACATTTCCCTCTGTCATTTTACCCAATAATGTACTTTCTCTCCGGCCAGAGAGGCCTCATTTCCATCACTTTGCGACAAAATGGAATAAATTCTCTACCAACAAGCCTGCAGGGCCATCGCTGGCGGTTGAGCTCAGCCAATCAAATGAGATGTCTGGGGGAAGGTGGGGGTGAAACCAGTCTTATTATTATTCCCCCGCTCTTCAGGTGTGTTCTCCAACATCCATTTTTATCTCTCGCCATTCCCTAATTTATTTCCTGCAGAAAATGAATTCCTCTCCTCTCACCGTGAACACCAGGATTACTAAAATTACAAACACTGAAATCAATTACCGAGCGAGGCCGCGTAAATCAAAATGCAGCCTCGTCTCTCTCCTTGCTGCGCCCATCTTCACGCCTATTGTCTGCGATGGCGTGCTGAAACGATCAGTCTGGCAGAGACAAGAGATTGAACTGATACGGTGCTGTACTGAGTGCTGCTCTTTGGTGTTTCGTGGCCATGGCCCATCATATTATTGATTAAAAACAGCTGCTTCTGTAAGTTCATCTTCACCCTCGTGGAAATAGCTGCTTCCCGCTTTACATTTTGACAACATTTCCAATTATTTATGTTTGAGAATCTAAAGCAGCTGTTTCAGTGTTTACGGGATTTAATCACAGTGACAGCAGAGGAAGAGCTTAAATGTATTAGCAGCATTCGGGATGATTAACTGAGCACTAATCCTGCGTTTTTGCGGGGTGGTGGTGATGTTTGAGCAAAGTGTTTCCTTTTAATCAAGCAAAAATGTATTCAAAGTAGTCAAAAATTTTAAACTATCAATAAAATGACTGGAGCCATTCATCAAGCAAAACGTACAAACCGTCAAAGGCTTACATTTTTTAAATCGGAATGCTATTCCTGATAAATTAGAACTGGAAGATGAGTCATGATATTGATTTTTCATAGTTTTTCTGAAATGTTGCAAAGTGATTAATTGGTTAATTACTCATCTACAGTAGAAATATTAGGACTGGATTAATTATTGAAGACGCAACTGTGAAATTACCAAAGTTGACTCAATAACATGCCTTGTCAAAAAAACACAATAAACAAATCAACATCTAGATTATACTAAATAAAACACAAATACAGTAAACAAATACTTTTTTGTGTTAACTGACCTATGACCTGTTCAAGCATAAGAAAAGGCGACAAGCACACAACAGAAAACGCTTAAATTGGGTCTCCAGGCACTTTGTTACTAGCAGCCTTTCACAAAACCAGATCTTTATTCCCTTCTTTTAACATTAGCCTACAAAAATACCCACAATAACATAGTGTGACAAGCAAAATAAAAAGTAAAATACTATTTTTATGGCAACAACTTGAACAAAGAGGTCCAATGTTAAGTGTCTACAGCCATTTGTAAAACACGGTGGAGGCTCTGTCATGGTTTGGAGCTGCATTTAAGCCACCATCTAACTGGCAACAGCTCAATCTTTCAGCATGATAGGAATGCTAAACACACTGCCAACAGTAAAAAGGTAAGGTGGTCTAAGAAAGTTCAGTCTATGTTGAAGAAGGTGGCCAAATACTGACTTTCCAGGCCCGAAACTCATTGCATGAGTGAATGTGTGCCATCATCAAAGCTAAAGGTGGTTCAAGAAGATATTAAAGTGTCACTTTTTTGGTCAAGTAGCCTAAAAACCTCATGAAAAGAGCACGTCATGGAAATTATTTGAAAGACACATTTAAAGTTACATTTTTTAAAAAGTCCTTAAAATGCTGGGTACTGTGTTATTTCTAACAAATGTGACACAAATGGAAGTAAATAATATAAACTGAGGTCTATTTTTGGCCTTGGATTAATGCACATTGAGCTCCCGAGTATTTAACAGCAAGACAAATCAAAATATACTCCATGGTCTGAATTTGTTGAAAAAAATAAAATAAAAATTAACAAATATGGCAAATGGACTTTTACACTCCCACTGGCACTCAAAGTGCTTTGAAACATTACAAGCCACATTCATCCATTCACTCAGGGCTTTAGGAGCTTTTTAATCTGTCACACACACAATCACACTCCGGTGAACGCATCGGGAACAATGTGGGATTAAATACCTTTCCCAAGATACTCAATCAGATCGAACCAACAACCTCCTGATTGCTTGACGACCCACTCTATCTCCTTAGCCACAGCCGCCTGTACAGAGAGTATCCTTTAACGCTCATCTTTGGTTCACTGTTAGTGGAAAGCAAAAGCCAACACTTAACATAATTTATGACGACCCAATTTCCCCATTAAGGACCTGGACACAAATATTAGTCATTTCCACTGCTTTGATGCTCAGTGCACAGACTCAAGCTTCGTGGCTCACAGTCCTTCGCTTCAGTGTCCAATCAGCTGAGACAGCTGAGACTTGAAAGGCAGCCGACAGATGAGTCACTGTTATACCACAGAGACAACGCGCTCGTTCAGCTGCTCGCCGAGGAACAATGACTGTTTCATGACAAACTAAATTCTGCTGTGCTTCAGATGACCCTCAGTCAGACTGTGGGGCTGTTTTTCCTCCCCTTTCTCCATCTTTTATTCTCAGTTATGGATTTTTATACAACTGCTTGCACCCTGAATTTTCATTACCATAACACAAAGCACTAACAACATTTAAATCTGCCCTTTGGGACTTTTACACAGGTTTCCATCTAAGCAGCATCCTCTATGTGCCCATTCTCCTAATGTTTCCAACTGTTGTGAAGCTAAAAGAAATGCAGGCTTTGACTCACACCACACAGCTGAAGCGGATGTTGCTGTTTGGCTAAATCATGTTGTCAAATTATTACTATAACGAGCATGTCAGGTCTAAAATTGAGGCAGTGTGTTTATATTAATAATGGGCTTGTGTGCATGGCCTTATTAAAATGGAAATGCAGGATTTACAACCGAGTGATACAGCAGTAGTTGTGTAGCTCATGCAGATTATAGTGGACCATTAGAGGCTGTATAATTTGAAGCCCAAAGAGGCCATGATTCAGTAATCCATTGCAGCCACAGTGGATGTTTTTATTTGCTACGTGTGGTTGAAAAATTTCATTATTTATCAGGACTGCAGCAACAAAACCTACGATGAAAACTGAAAACTGTATTTTCTACCGATTTTACATAATAATAACAATAACAACATAATAATTTAACTGTTGTGTTGCATTTTCAGTTCCACAGTTCTTATATATTCTGTTTATATTCAATCACTATTTTATATTTAACATAATATTTGGTGCTAAAAATAGACAAAGATAATTATTCTTTTAAAAAAAGGAAAGAAAAACATTTTCTGATATAATAACGCAAGAATGACCTCAGGATCTACAGTGGCAGCTTCAACCCTGAATGATTAACCGACTGTAGAAACCACA